CCGCAGTCCCTGGTCATCTCCTGTACTGTGTCCGCAGTCTCTGGTCATCTCCTGTACTGTGTCCGCAGTCTCTGGTCATCTCCTGTACTGTGTCCGCAGTCTCTGGTCATCTCCTGTACTGTGTCCGCAGTCTCTGGTCATCTTCTGTACTGTGTCCGCAGTCTCTGGTCATCTCCTGTACTGTGTCCGCAGTCTCTGGTCATCTCCTGTACTGTGTCCGCAGTCTCTGGTCATCTCCTGTACTGTGTCCTCAGTCTCTGGTCATCCCCTGTACTGTGTCCTCAGTCTCTGGTCATCTCCTGTAGTATGTCCGCAGTCTCTGGTCATCTCCTGTACTGTGTCCGCAGTCTCTGGTCATCTCCTGTACTGTGTCCGCAGTCTCTGGTCATCTCCTGTACTGTGTCCGCAGTCTCTGGTCATCTCCTGTACTATGTCCGCAGTCTCTGGCCATATCCTGTACTATGTCCGCAGTCTCTGGTCATCTCCTGTACTATGTCCGCAGTCTCTGGTCATCCCCTGTACTGTGTCCTCAGTCTCTGGTCATCTCCTGTACTGTGTCCGCAGTCTCTGGTCATCTCCCGTGCTATGTCTGCAGTCCATTGGTTCAGAATTTTTTTTCCCCTGTTTTTCGCCTCTAAAACCTAGGTGCGTCTTATGGTCAGGTGCATCTTATGGAGCGAAAAATACGGTACTTGTCTTTTGTAGTGTAAAAACTGTGGGAGGAGTTAGCGTGTCAAATTTGGCTATAATAAGAATAAAAATAAGAATAAGAATATATTTGTGAGATAACAATAAGTGTTCTTTGCAAGAACACTTACCGTAATAATAATTAGTGGTGCAACGAAATGAAAATTCTGGTGCCGAAGCCAAAAATTCAAAATGCACTTGGCCAGAAACCAAAACTGAAATGCGCAGCTTTTAAAAATGAATATATATTTTTTGGAAAAAGTACACTTTGATTAAAAAAAAAACAAAAAAAAAAAAAAACAATATATACCCTACTTTTTTGTAAAATATGAAAGAGGATGTTACAGCGAGTAAATATCTACCCAACATGTCACGCTTTAAAAACACTCGTGAAACTGCGATACTTAAAAATCTCCATGGGTGATGCTGTAAAAATTTCTATAGGTTACCAGTGTAAAGTTACAGAGGAGGTCTAGTGCGAGAATTATTGCTCTCGCTCCAACGTTCGTGGCCAGACCTTACTTTTGTGTGGTTTGAACACCGTTTACATATGTGGGCATGGCCTACGTATGCGTTCACCACTATGTGCAAGCACGGGGGGACGGGCACTTTAAACTTTTTTTAAAAAAATGTATTTAATGTTTTGTTTGTTTGTTTTTTTGAACTGTCCCTTTAAAAAAATTGTAATCACTTTTATTCTTATCACAAGAAATGTATGCATCCCTTGTGATAGAAATAATTAGTGACAGGTCCTCTTTATGGAAAGATATGGGGTTAATAAGACCCCACATCTCTCCTCTGCAATGTAAAGCATTGGATCAAAAAAAAAAAAGCATTGATCTAGTGCTTTTAAAAAAAAATGTCTGGAACTGGAAGTGACATCACTTCGGTCCTCCAAGGGCATAGAGATGAGTGGAGGCCATCTTTCCTTCACTCATCTCTATGCCCAAAGCAAGGATTGTTTGATGGTTTCTCAGGAAAGGCTGAGAACTATCAAGCAGCGGCCGGTGGCTGAGGGGCGCACCTGTATCGGTGCTTTTTTCATTTCGGCCGACTGCCTTAAGGGGTGTTTTCGGCCGAAACGTTTTGGCCACCAAAATTTCAGTGCATCCCTAACAATAATATTAGAGTGTATGGGGCGATCAAAGGGTTAACTGTGTGCTGTTTTGCTGTGTGCGTTTTACTAGGGAGACATGCTGTTTTGTATCTCTCTGCCGTGCAGAGAAGTACACAGCAGCATGTTACTGCTGGCAGAAGAGAGACCTGTGTTGTTTACACACAGGTCTCTCCCCTGTCACTGTTCTTCGGTGATCACCGGGTGCCAGCGGGGAATCTCCACCCGGGACCTGGTGATCGATATTTGTAGCCACCAATGGCGCTCCCCCTACCCAGAAATGCAAAATCACACATATATAAATATATATATATACACACACACACACACACACGTGATTTTGAGCAGCCCTGTTGCCCTGTAGCAGTAGTTTTAGAAGCGGTTAATGTGTGACTCTAGAAATATGTAGATCTGTGTTTCTCGGACAATAAATTTTACAATTGTAGGTGATGACATATCAGTACATCAGTTTTGGATCTATTTTTTGTTTTTGGAATGGATTGGAAATTAAAATTTCCTGTGCTTCAGAGAGGAAGCACTAAGGCCTGAAAGGAATGGATTGGAAATCTCAGGACTTTCATGTCAAACACAGCAAATCTCATTCATTGTTTATATTCTAAAGCCTGTCATGTTTGTGTACTGTAAGTGGTCCAAAATTCCACAGGAAACGTAAAAATAATCCTATATATTTATGCAGCTTGGACTTTGCTTTGTGTATCCTATGATTAAAAAGGCACACATTCATATTGTAAAGCGCTGTGCAAACTGTATAAATCTATACAATATCTAAACTATATAAAATCCTGAATATTAATATTAAAGTGATATTAAACCCAAAACCAAACATTTATTATATTGCAGCTTTCCAATTCTTAAATGTAATGGCTACATTCATTTTCATTTTTAGGCTTTTCTCTTTCTATTTCCATCTGGTGATCCAGCCAGTAAGTCTATTGTTTTTCAACAAGTTCTTCAGCAGAATGTATCATTTAACGATATGAGACAAATCATTTAAACCTGGCAGGGGTGCTTACAATGATCAGCTTTATTTATGTAAAACCTTTATCCCAAAAAGGAAAAAAAAAAACACTATTTGCTGTAACTGATTATAAAGTATTAGCTGGGTTCAACTTCAATTCATTAGTGTATCTAAATCTGCTAGTACAGCTAACACTTCCCTTCGCCCAGACTGACAATGCTGCTGTCCAAATGTGCCACCAGTGCTCCTTCATCCAGAATACAAGAGTTGTGTTAATGGCCAGATCACCAGGTAAGAAGAGAGAGAAAAAACACCTAAAGGCCCTCTGATCCCTCCTGTATTAAACTGTATTGTCTGCCCTTATACTGTAAAACGATGCGTAAACTGCTGGCGCTATATTATTATTATTATACAGTATTTATAAAGTGCCAATAGTTCACTCAGCGCTGTACATTACAAAGGGGGACAGAACATGTGACAGAACAATACCAATACAATGCAAAACATGAGGGGATTGAGGGCCCTGCTCTTATATAAATAATTATTTAAAAAAGAAAACTAATGCAGCCACCACATCCAATGATCTAACATCCTGAATTCAAGTGGTTATTACAATTTCATGGCTGCAACTGGTATCATTTTTGTATAGCCAGCGATCAGCTGTTCAGTAAAAGTGATCTGAGCAGCTTCACAGCCACCCAATCACTCTTACTGTAGTGTAGTGTTTCATTCCCCAATCCCCTCTGTAACTGATAAATCTGGAAGCCTCAATTATTTAATTTCTAGATTGTAAGCTCCAAGGAGCAGGGCCCTCGAGCCCCTCGTGTATCGCACTGTATTGTTATTGTACTGTCTCATGTATTGTCCCCCATTGTAATGTACAGCACTGAGCAAACTGTTAGCGCTATATAAATACTGTATAATAATAATAATAATAATTTAGTTACTCCCAGTTTCAGGGCTTTCCTGTGCTTGATTAGCTGCAGTAAAGAGTAAACCGCCACAAGAAAAAAACAAAATTGGGCCCCTGGGCAGGTTTAAGTCACAATGTCCCAATATGCACCACATCCTAGCACATTATGTCAGATTTACCTGCACACAGAGCCCTCCAGCGCAGCGCTGTCATGGCTCCCCGGCACTTCCACCTTCACCCGGTCTTCCTTCTGGGTTTGTGGACTCCGGCTCTTTGGGTGGCCGGGACTGCCATGACGTCACTCCTATGCATGCGTGCGGGAGCCACGGCCATGGCACGGCGCCCTGAATTCTACTGCATACTGTATGCTCTAAATGAAGAGTGCCACTTCACAAGCTTGGGTGATGTCATCAGCTATTGCCAATGTGAATATCTGCTAAACAGTACACGTTTAGGAGATATTCATTGCACCTACAGATAAGCCTGATTGTAAGCTTACCTGTAGGTACGACTTACAAAGAGTCTACTATTGCTTTAACGATCTATTGCTCACTTTAGGTGAGACAACAGAGTAATACTTACCTTAAAGTGGTTGTAAATGCTTACATACACCCAGTGAAGTATCTGGCCTCAGGTGACACACACAGAGATGAAGCAAATCCTTCTACATAAGTTGTACCTGTCTATCTATAGTCTTCACTTCTCTACATCTGTTCAAAGTGATGAATTGTAAAGCTTGTCTGAGAGTTCAGAAAAAAGGGGGCGGAGAGCTGAAATTACACTCTGCACAGCTCAGTGAGGAGAGTTATGAGAGCTGATTGGAGGGAAGGGACACACCCTCCTCCCTTCACACAGCTCACAGGAATGGAGCTGAGAGACTGTCAATCTGATGGAGGTCCCTCCCCTGTCACCATATTTCTCTTGGTGAAGGAAAACTTGTCAGAAGCGATTTATGATGATAGCAGAGGAATTAAGCAGCAGACAGAAATGACCCTTACCCCGGTTCACATATATGCGGCTGTGCGGGCTGCGTTTTGCATAAGCACAAGAGCCCATTCATTTGAATGGACTCCCATGCCCCCTGACACGCAGGGAAGAAGTCCCTGCACTTCTTTGGAAAACGCAGCCCACATGGGAACCTTGGTTCCCAGTACGGTTGTGTTTTCCAGTGCGGGCCGCGTGCCATTAGAACTAGTGGCACCCACCTGCAAATCCGCATTCCTCTGTGTGGGTGGTGCGGCTGCACAGATTTTCGTGCGGATCCACAGCGGCATCACCCGCACAGATGTGAACCTAAGGTTAGTGTTCTGGACTGAGACAAGTACACACTATAGAGCAGAGGTGTCAAACTGGAGGCCCTACATCTGTTGCAAAACTACTACAAGTCCCATCATGCACCGCCTTTGGGAGTCATGCTTGTAACTGTCAATCTTGCAATGCCTCATCCTTGTAGTTTGGGAACAGCTGGAGGGCCACCAGTTTGACACCCGTACTATAGATGGCTATGCTTAGTTCGTATTTCATGTCTGAGCTTTAAAGCCACTTTAAGCCGTGTTCCCAAAACAGCATACAATCTGGTCCTCCCCTCCTGAGTCCTGGATTGTTGGCAGGCACTTCTACATCATCACATACAATACTAGACCAGCATTACCAGTTGGTCCTGCATTGTATGTCAGTGAAAAAGACGGTCATGCAACCTGTCAGGGACTGGCAAGAAGAGCTGCTTTGGGGGACTGGTTGTCACAGAAGGATCGCAAGGCCCTTGAATTAGGTATTATTATTATTATTATACAGTATTTATAAAGCGCCAATAGTTCGCTCAGCGCTGTACATTACAAAGGGGGACAGAACATGTGACAGAACAATACCAAGACAATGCAAAACATGAGGGGATCGAGGGCCCTGCTCTTTCGGGCTTACAATCTAGGAGGGAGGGGATGGTGGCACAGGAGGAGATAGCTGTGGGGAATGGAGTGGTAGGAAGAGTGGAGGAGGTCCGCAAGTTAGCAGGGGGTGGGGAAGGCTTCCCTGAAGAGATGGGTTTTCAGGGTGCGCCTAAAGGAGAGGAGAGTATGTGATAATCTGATGGGTTGGGGCAGGGAGTTCCAGAGGATGGGTGACACCCTGGAGAAGTCCTGGAGGCGGGCATGGGAGGAGGAGACCAGGGAACTAGAGAGAAGGAGGTCTTGTGAGGAGCGGAGTGTGCGTGCTGGGCGGTACTTGGATATTAGGTCAGTGATGTAGTTCGGGGCAGTATGATGGACAGCTTTGTACGTCAGCGTTAGGATTTTGAATTTGATAATTTGAGGTAGATAATCTATTTTATCTCATTCTCTAGAGAAAAAAAATCAGCATATAATATTTTATCAGCTTGGGGGGAGCAGAAAAGGCATATTTTATTTTATTACTGTCCGGGGTTGGGATCTAAAGGTGCCCTTAGGCTACAACTGAAAATGAAGCCTTGAGATGCATACAGAGGACAGCCAACATGCACAGTACGTATATATTTTGATTCAGGCATTGCTTTAGTAATCTATGACTCCCTTTGTCAGTAATCTGAGGATCCTGGAAAACATCTGCCTGTGATGCTGGAACACTCCTCACTCCCATCCACAGCCCCAAACCAGATTCAAACCTTGAAAGTTTGGATGTGATTGGTAATGCAGAAAGTAGGGAGACAAGATTAGACTGTACAAGACTTAGGAAGCACATTTCCACTGTCTTCCTTCTGACCCTGTGAGGTGTTCCGGGTGTGCTATGGCTGCAGGGGCTTATAGAGAACTCCGATTCTACTGAGTTAATTTTTTACTTTTGCTGTAATGCATTAGTAACTTACTGACTGGTTTCACTTGTTGACTGGAACTGCTCTTAAAGTGGAATTGACCTCGCTTGAACAGCATTTACTATTTTTAATCTTTATGCTGCTAAAATTAGTAAATAGATAGGAAGTTATACTGTATTTACCTGTTTTACATTTTTTTTGTACATGTTGCTTCCTGGTTTCTGGCCTAGGTCAAAAGCATGTCATATTTCCAATTACCCTTTTTTTTTCTTTTATATGGACGAGGGGCTTTCTCAGCTGAGCACACCCTCCTGCCTGTATGCCTGAGGTAAGGACAGATGGATTTCAGGAAGTAAAGAGATTTCTCAGGAAAATATAGCATGAGGCATGGATGGATGGACGAGTTTGGTTTTATTATTAAGAATTAATTAAATAGCACTTTCAGTTTTTTGATGATGCTCAGATACAGTTAAAGTAGAATTCCAGGTATAACTTACAGTGGTTGTAAACCCTTACATATTCCCAGTGAATTGACTCATGCTGATAACAGAGGAACGAAACAGCAGAAAGAAATGACACTTAGTGCTCTGGATTGAAACATGTACACAGTATAGAGGGATATGCTTTGTTCATATTTCATGTCTGAGGTTTACAACCACTTTAACTAATCTTAAAAATGGTCCCTCTCCCCTCCTAGCACCCATGCTAACTAATCAGTGTAAGAGATTTTTATCCATTTTCAGTGCTCTCTCATCTCCTCTGCAGCTGCCATTGGCTGACACGGGGAGCCGGATCACGTAACCAGAGAAGGGTGGGCCTTTTTGTTTTTCCCCTATTATGCTTACCTAGGTGGATGCAGCATTGGTTCGATGAAACATCTGGTCCCTGATGGCTCTAAGTGTAAGAACTCAGCGATCATAAGACTGCTGATCACCGAGCTCTCACAGCCGTTCTGAGCAGAGAGTGGGGACTGTCAGTCATTGTTGGCTGCTCTGCCCCCCCAACCCCACCCCCCCATGCTCAATGAAGTGCTGGGCTGTGGAGGAGGAGGGTGTGGGTGGCTCAGGCTCTCAGTGGATCACTGAGAGGCTGAGCCAGGTGCTGCTCCAGACTCTGGGGTGGATCCCGACTTTAAAGTCGGGATCTTTCCCCAGCCTGGACCGGCTGAGTTACGCCAGCTGACAATGGGCTTCAGTCCGCTGTCAGCTGAAAACGGGTCACACAAGAGCAGAACAAACTGCACTCTTGTGATCCACCTAAAGAGCTTTGGCTGTATTTCTCTTTTAAAACAGTTAAGTCAACATAGGTGTTGGGGGGGGAGCATTTTTAAGATTTGTTAGGTTTATCCTGAAATTCTCCTTTGACTGGAACTGCACTTAAAAGTGCAATTTCTACTCTTTCTCCTCTCCCCCCTTACTGTAACATTATCAAAGTTTTTTTGGTCAGGGCACAGGTACCGTTTTCTGACAGGTACCCGCTCCCACAATTTTCGTCTAGGCAAGAATTACAAAAGTTTGGCCTGTCCTCTTTAGCACCCACAACCTCCTGGGACCCGTCATATAACCTAGGAGGCTGCGGGAGCAGTCTAAGGTGCAGCAAGATCTTGCACATGCGCAGCGGGGAGTCAGCAGAAAGTCACAAACGGAGGCTCCAGGGATCTGAAATCTGCCGAAGAACTGACTCGGATGATAACAGCGCTGGAATCTTGGACTAGTGAGTGGTTCAGTATTTGAAGTTGCTAAGTTTTTTTCAAGGAAGTCTATATCTAGTAATATATCTGAGTTCCTGGAAGTCTTTCTTTGTCCCAAAGCAAGACAAAAATGAAAGTACAATAGTCTGATCTATGCCAACCATATGACGTTGGCTGGCTCAGTGCTCTGACATGAGCAAAGTCACAGTTTGGCCAGAATGGGGGTAGTTATCAGAGTCTTGGGAAGCCCAGCAGGAGGTGAAATATGCATTCCAATGTACCCATGTCTTTCCCTCCCTGTAATGTCATGTCATAGAATTCATGTCACATAGGTGTTTTCTCTGTGATACAGAAATGTAGCAAGTGTAGCCCAAGCCAAGCGTAATTATTAACTCCAGTGATAAGTCATAGAAGGATAGCCTTGGGTAAACAGAATTTATTACCAAAACTGGCTGATATTATCTGGCAGTGAACACCACAGAAAACATGTATTTGTTAAGGGCTGGTTACCTTTGCTATACCATGTTAAGATATAAGTTATTAAAGTGGTTCTCAAGGCAGAAGGTTTTTCATCTTAATGCATTCTCTGCATTAAGGTAAATAACCTTCTGCTTGCAATCTCCCCCAAAATACTTACCTGACTCCTATAAATAAATAAATAAATAAAAATAAAATAACTAAATAAAATAAATCTCGATCCACCAATGTGCACAAGAGCAATAGGTCCCTAGGCTCTCTCTCCCTCCTCCTTGGACAGAGAGGCAGCAGCAGAAGCTATTAGCCCCTGCTGTTGTCAATGTCAGTCAGTTAGGAGAGAGAAGAGGGTGGAGCCCAGCCAAGCCCTATGTGTAATGGACACAGAGATCTGTCTCGGGAGCGAGCATGCACAAGTGCCCCCCTAGAATGCTAAAGGAGCTGTCCATGCAAGTGAAACAGCCCACTTTAAGTCTTCAAAAACAAAACAAATCCATCAGAGAGATAGCAGCAACATTAGGAGTGGCCAAATCAACAGTTTGGTACATTCTGAGGCAAGAAGAACGCACTCAGCAACATAAAAAGCCATGGACGTCCACAGAAGACAACAGTAGGGGATGATCGCAGGATCCTCTCTATCGTAAAGAAAAACCCATTCACAACATCCAGACAAGTGAAGGACACTCTCCAGGAGGTGGGCGTATCATTGTCAAAGTCTACAATCAAGAGAATACTTCACGAGAGCAAATACAGAGGGTTCAACACAAGGTGCAAATCAGTCATAAACCTGAAGAATAGAAAAACCAGATTAGATTTTGCCAAAAAAAATCTAAAAAAGCCAGACCAGTTCTGGAAAAGCATTCTTCGGTCAGATGAAACTAAGATTAATCTGTACCAGAATTATGGGAAGAAAAAAGTGTGGAGAAGGCTTGGAACAGCTCATGATCCAAAGCACACGACACCATCTGTAAAACATAGTGGAGGTAGTATGATGGCATGGGCATGCATGGCTTCCAGTGGCACTGGGTCATTGGTGTTTGCTGATGATGTGAGAGAAGACAGAAACAGCCGGATGAATTCTGCCGTGTTTAGAGATATACTGTCAGCCAATGTTTCAAAAACACACTGCAAAAGCAACTTTTGAAGGAAAAGAAGTGCAATATACTGCAATGGCCGTGTCAATCACCTGATCTCAACCCAGCTGAGCATGCATTTCACTTGCTGAAGGCAAAACTAAACGCAGAAAGACCCACAAACAATCAACTACTGAAGACCACTGCAGTTAAAGCCTGCCATCATCAGAGGGGAGGCTAACGTTAGCCTCCCCTCTGATGTGCTATGCACGAAAGGCCTTAGGAGGAGCTGACAGAGCGTGACGTCACTGCCGCTGGAGCCACGAGGAAGCCCAGCGGCCATCTTTAATGAGGGTCAATGCTGCCTAACTCTGCATTTCCCTGCAATATTGTGCATACTACCCTGTTTTAACCCCGTATTACAATAAAACGTTTCTGGAACATGCTACACTATGGGCACTTGCTTTTTGGCTCCTTTT